TGATTGCATTGACCCTTCAACTTTGCACCATACCTGGGTTCAACCCACATCACGCCACATTGACATTCCTCATTGAGCACTGGCAGTGGGAGAATGTCTATGAAGTTCTGCCAGCAGCTGCATGGATGGAACTCAGCTGGATCATCCTCTACTGCATCTCCAGCTTTGAGAACTACATCAACTCAGCAGGCTCAGTCGTCCTGAATGCTTTTGAGAAGGCCCTGAACTACTACACCCTTGGCCAAAACCCACTCTTCCAGATCATGCATGGCAAAAAAGCTGTTACTGACTACAATGCTCTCACTGAGCACCTGGTATGTCCACCACATGCTTGTTCTTTACAGCTACCAAGAAATGTGGCAAGGGTAAGGCTGAAGAGGAAAAGTCGCCATCTACCATCAAGCACAAGGCAGAGCTTGCTCTCCAGAAAAAGTATCTCCCCCAATTCACTGAGCCACTCCCAAGCTTCTTGGCCAACCAACACAATTCCATGAATGGCCAGTGCATTTATCAGCCTGCATTGTTTTCCTGATGTGCATTGGGTTTTTATTTGTTGACTCTTTTCCCTGATGTGCATTGGTTTTTCTAATTTCACTTATTTCCTGATGTCCACTGGTTTTTTTCTTCCACAGGTGTCAATCTACATGCATGACTTTACCATCCACAGTGTGGACATTCCTCTCAACATCAAGGACACAGCAACTCACCTATTGAAGTCTTATGGTGTTGGATTCTACATCTCCTCATCTCCCTCCAACATTGCCAATGCCATCACCTCACTCAAGTCACACTCCACCCTCCAGGTCTTCCACCTACTCCACTTCTACTACAGCTCCCCAACTTACTGCCTGCCTCTGAACCTCTTGTCAGTGGCTTTGATGTTCTCATCTTCAGCCACAAGAGGGTTAACATGTCCACCATCTGGCATCCTCTGGCCAGTGACACCATCCCTGAACCCTGAACCCTTCTGCTATCTGCACCACATCCCCATCCCACACCCAATGTGTGAGGTTGTCTGCTCTGCTCCTGCTTTCCTCACTGCTCAATCATTGGACTGCACCCTGCTTCACATTGGCCTCTACAGCTTCCTCATCCAGAGCTTAGAGCTTCCCAATCCTTCTCCCCACCCCATCACATCGCCCACCACTCCCTACCACATTCTCTATGAGGCAAATCCCACCTACTACCTCTCCTTCTGTGCTGCCCTTTACTCCAGCTTTGTCTGCCTCTCCTCTACCCCCATAGCAGAGGGCAACATCTCCTCTCTCAGCAACTGGCTCCTCACCTTCCACTCTAAATTCCTGGAGGAGTCAGATCTCACAGCCATCACTTCCTTCCTACAAGGCCTAACTTCACATCCTGCCCTTGCCCCTCTCACACCCAAGACCAGCTCCTCCTCCTCTTCCAGTCCATGGAAAGTGTGGAAGTCCATTGGCTAATGTTTCCCTCCACTCTGTTCTGTTCCTCATTTCAACAAAATACATTAGCCCTTTTACACTTAT